AAATCATAGGATTTCTTAAATATATACTGTATGACAACTACAATGAGACTATTATAGGTAGTCCCTGATTACAGAAGTTCAGAAATAAGAGGGCTACCTAGCACCGATTAAATTGGGAAGTCCAATGGATAAAAGTCAAAGTGTGACCTAACTGGATTGAAGTTAGTCTATGGCATCTGCATATTCTTGTTGCTTTAATTACAGTAATGCTAATTTCTACATAGTAAGAAAGGGCTGTTTCATCAATCTGCCTCACACAGAGAATCAACATTATTGCTTAATGCAACTGACCCTTGGGATTCAACTTATAGCAGTGCTTCTCAATCTTGACAGTTTTAAGCTGTGTAGACTTCAACTCCCAGAATACTTCATCCAGCATTACAGCATCCTGGCTGGGAAATTCCCAGAGTTGACTGGGAAGCTGCCAAGGATGAGAAACACTGACATACTATTACATGCCCAATTTCAGTCACTCAACCTATTACTTCCAACATCCACCGAGATTCAACAGGCAGGTTATTCTGGTACAGAAGCGATCAACATCTTCCCAATCAAAACTGCCCATGCTCTTTAAGAAACATGTCAGGGACTGCATCAGAAGAAAGACCTGTCGGGGCTGGACAAAACTAAATGCAAGTTATTTTCATTTATATTTACATTGTACAAAAAGCAACCAGTATTCATATGATTATGAGGCAACTGTCTTCCACTGTTGTTACATTAAACATTATCATTTAGCAACAACTTTTTGAAAGCAGCCAAGGCTTTCTTATGTCTTCACTTTGGCAGCATCTCAGTGTGTCTCATACTCAGATCTAAAATGGTTACAGTCTTTCCAAGCAGTCAGGCTCCTCTTCTGAGATGGAAAAGGGGCATCCCAGAAATGTTTGATCTGCTTGATTTCTGTTGTACGTTTGCTGCCATCCTGTGGAAACTGGGTGACTTAACAACTAGCATTTGGAAAGCCAGTTTCTTCACTCTGCAGTTTTTAAACTATAGTAGGGATAGGATGCGAGTATCTTGGACTGCAAGGTGATCAAACCGGAAGAGATCAACCCTGACTGCTCTTTAGAAGGTCAGATCCTGAAGATGAAACTCAAATATTTTGGTCATCTAATGAGAAGGAAGGACTCACTGGAGAAGAGCCTAATGCTGGGAAAGATAATGAGGGCAAAAGAAGGGGACAGAGAATGAAGTGGCTGGATGGAGTCACTGAAGCAGTAGGTGTGAGCTTAAATGGACTCAAGAGGATGGTAGAGGACAGGAAGGTCTGGAGGAACATTGTCCATGGGGTCGCAATGGGTTGGACACGACTTCGCAACTAACAACAACAACAAGGGATAGGAGTTCTTGGTTAGAAACTGTTTTCAATAAAAGTCTGTAGTAATTCTCAGTCATCCAGGCCATGGTTGTCCCAAAGGTGCTTTTTCAGGAGGCAATTGGACTTTCTTGTTTTTTCTTTTGAAGATGTTTCGCTTCTCATCCAAGAAGCTTCTTCAGCTCTGACAGGATAATGGGGAATGGAAAGATTTATATTCCTTGCAGACATCTGACAATCTGCATCCTTTTAGAGGGTCATTGAAGCACTTGGGGGTTTATCTGTGTCCTCAGGATCACCTGAGTAGTGCTCTTGGTTCTTGTAGTCTGCAATTTTTCCTCTAGAAATCCATTCCTACTGCCACACCATTCAAAAGGTGTTCATCCCAAATTATATTGCATTTAAAAGTTTATTTTAAGCAGATGCAGTTTCAAATAATGAAAATACTACTTTCATGTAGATAAAATTATTATTATTATTATTTATTGGATTTATATGCCGCCCTCTCTCCGAAGGACTCAGGGCGGCTCACATCAACGAAACAATCCCAATAAATACAAATTAAAACAGACTAAAACAGACTAAAAACCAATTTAAAACAGTAGGCTCCATCAGTCCTGGCTAGGTCTTAAGCTCATGGCGGAAGGTATGAAGGTCGGGGGCCAGCTGAAGACCCACAGGAAGTTGATTCCAAAGGGTGGGCGCGGCCGCAGAGAAGGCTCTACCCCTGGGGGTCGCCAGCCGACATTGTCTAGCCGACAGCACCCTGAGTAGGCCCTCTCTGTGGGAACGCACCGTGTGATGGGAAGTCAATGCTGGGAGACTGTTCCTATCCAGCATTGCTTTGTTAGTACTGCAATCTCAATGTAAGTACAAAATACTGCAAATGGTCTTCATGTGATTTAATGCAACTTGGTGCAATAAAGAAAAAAATAATTATGTGTATTGCACCTAGAAAACACTCAGGAAGGAAGTTATTATTTTGTTTATATTACAGTGTTTAGATACTACTTGCTAATAAAAATGATCAGATTGATGAATAATGAAAAAGTGATGAAAAATAAAATAAGAACATTAAAAGCAGAAGAGGAAGGTTTAAGAAAACTAGCCCAGCAGCCATCTTCAATTTTAGTGTTTCACATTTTTCCCATTTCAAATGTACTATATCTTGCTTTCTCATTAATTTGCATGTTTTAAAAAGTCCTGAGAAAAATTCATATCTATTCATTTATGTACATAGCTTTTTAAAAAAATGTTTTCTGAAAGTGATTTTTATCTAATAGAAGTAAACCTACTTTAAATGGAAAAGAACGATTTGCTTGAACTGTGCATTGCATAACATACAAAAAAACTGCAAATGTTGGTATTCTAACACTTTGTCTAAATCAATTTAAAAATAAACTATCACAGGATATGGATGATACTAATTTATGCTTTACAATCCGGGCCAAGCTGGAGATGGCCCTCCATTTATGTTCTACCTGTCTTTAGATAAGGAGAAATACAATATTAGAGAGCACCTTAAATCTCCAGTGAGCATGAAAACTCTGGAATGTTATTCCTAAGGCAATTGGGTACATGCAACTCTCAGGAAACTTCAAAGGATTAATGCTTCTATTTTAACAAAGGAAAGAAAAAAGAATTTATTGCAGTATTTTTCAAACTTGGCAACTTTAAGATGACTTCAACTCTGGCTGAGGAATTCTGGGAACTAATGTTTATAGTTGTTAAGGTTGCTAAATTTGAAAGATGCTGATTAATTACATGTAGTAATTAATTAGCCTCTCACCAGCCAGTACGCTCACATAGAGAGGGCTCCTCAGGGTGCTGTCGGCCAAATAGTGTTGAGTCGCGGCCCCCAGGGGGAGAGCCTTCTCTGTGGGGGCACCTTCTATCTGGAATGAGCTCCCCCTGGAGATACGGAGGATCCCGGATTTACGCACCTTCCGCCGTGCCCTCAAGACCTATTTATTTCAAAAGGCTGGCCTGGCCTAACTTCCCTTTTAATTGTAACTTTTAAAATTGGTTTTAAAACATTAGGGGTGTTTTAAATTGTTTTGGGCCAAATTATTTAATGGGTTTTTATATTGTCTTTTGAATTTTGTAGTTTGTGTGTTTTATCTTTCTGGCTGTTCACCGCCATGAGTCCTTCGGGAGTAGGACAGTATATAAATCTAATAAAATGGGAGGGGGGGGAAATGGCGTGGTGGCGCAGTGGTTAGAATGCAATACTGCAGGCTACTTCTGCTGACTGCCTGCAATTTGGCAGTTCGAATCTCACCAGGCTCAAAGTTGACACAGCCTTCCATCCTTCTCAGGTTGGTACAATGAGGACCCAGATTGTTGGGGGCAATACGCTGACTCTTTAAACCGCTTGGAGAGAGCTGTAAAGCACTGTGAAGCAATATATAAGTCTAAGTGCTATTGCTATTACTAGTCCTCAACTTACGACCATAATTGTGATCAAAAAATTCACTGTTATGCAGTGTGGTCATCATTGAGCATTGCATGATCGCACTTGATTTTATGACGTTTGTAGTGGTTATTAAGCAGACATCATGTGATCATGGCTTGCAACCTTCCCTGCTGGCTTCCCCATTGACTTTGCTGGTCAGAAGCTGGCTGGGAAGGTGGCAAATGGCAATCATGTGACAGTTGTCGTGTAAGCCACTTGCCAGGATGCTCGAATCACAGTCACATGACCACAAGGATGCTGGAACAGTCATCAGTGCAAGTAACATTTGTATGTTACTTTTGTCAGTGTCCTTGTAAATTCAAACATTTGATAAACAAATGATTGTAGATCAAGGACTACCTGTGGCACTGAAGGATTCATATTAGTGGAACTATCACCAACAGTGAACAACTAATCTACAATGTATTATAACCTTTCCCAGCCCATAGGATGTATAGCACATCAACTTCAGGGGTGAAATCCAGCAGGTTCTGGAGAACTGGTAGCGGAAATTTTGAGTAGTTCGGAGAACTGGCAAGTACCACCTCTGGCTGGTCCCAGAGTGGGGTGGGAATGGAGATTTTGCAATATCCTTCCCCCAGGAGTGGGGAAGGAATGGGGATTTTGCAGTATCCTTCCCCTGGAGTGGGGTGGGAATGGAGATTTTGCAGTATCCTTCCCCTGCCACGCCCACCAAGCCATGCCCACAGAACCGGTAGTAAAAAAAATTGAATTTCACCACTGGTCAACTCCCATTATGCTCCAGTTAGCTCGATGATTGGGAGTTTATGAAAACTTCTAAACACTTGTATCTGGACAGCTCCAGATTGGAGAAAGCTGATATACTTTTAAATACAGGGTTTTTAGTGGTTTTAGGGCAATGGGCCCAAAGGGACATCTGTTAAAATATGATTGTGTGGTTCAGTATTTCTCAACCTTGGCAACTTTAAGATGGGTGGACCAAGTTCCAAAATTCCCCAGCCAGCCATGCTTGGGAGTTGAAGGCCACCCATCTTAAAGTTGCCAAGATTGAGAAACACTGGTGTAGATACTTTACAAATAAGCATCCCATCCTTAACAGCCTCTTATACAATCAGATCTGAACAGCAAAACAAAATGAAAAATTCAGCCAGACAATACAGTTTGCTCTCTCTTTTTCCCTCCCTCCCTCCCATTCTCAGCTTTCTTCCTATCCCAGCTTTCTGTGGCTGGGCTTCAGCTCCTCCTCACATTCCAGGCCTGCTGAAACTTCCCCTAAAAAATTCTCCAAAATGGAGCCGTCTCTGCCCCTAGCAACGCATACGCTAAAAAGCTCAAAGCTGAAAAGCAAGGTTTTCATTATTTTCATTTCTATGGTGTTATGCACAGCCTTGCTGGGCCTGCTACAGCTCAAGTTCTTAAAACCCAGATACAAAGACTTTTATTCCTTTGAAGTGAAGGATTGGAAAGGAAGAACCGTGTCCTTGGAGAGATACCGAGGCAAAGTAAGTAATTTCAATTTTTTTAGATTTAGGCAGGCTTGCTGCTGTATACTTTCCGTGCAATAGTAGCACATTAGGAATACCTGGAAATGGAAATCCAAGGTACTGAAGTTAAAATGTAATATTTGTTGAGATAAACTGAGAAGTTTCAGTGGTTCATTTTCTCTACTACCTGGTTTTAGGGACCAGGAATATCCCCTGCAAAAATGGGCATCTACTAATGATGCTTATGTTTGCAGTTTTTATAATAAAATAAGAAATGATGCAAGAACTGGCTTATCAAACCAGACCCTGTTGGTAACTATCAGATACCTCTGCAAAGTTTAAAAACTGGATCTGGTTGAATCAGTTCCAAATTTTAAACTTTGCAGAGGCATCTGATAGTTACCAACAGGGTCTGGTTTGATAAGCCAGTTCTCATATTGTTCTTTATTTTATTATAAAGACTGCAAATGTAAGCATAGTCAGTAGGTCTGTGTTTTTGTCACTGAACCACTGTTGAATTCTTGAATTTGGTGGCTAAATGTATACATTCATTTGAACAATTGAAGTTAGATTGTTCTCAATGCTTGCAATGGTAGGCAAACATTTATTTCAGTGGGAGAAAGTAGGCTTATGTTTCGTAAATTCACATAAACTAAACTGACCTAAAAAGTGCTTTGCTTTCTACTTAATACCTGTGATTTAAATGCTGTCTATTTTTTTAATAGTGAAACTGATCTGAACACTAGACTTTACTGCGCTGATAAATGATAAATAGCCAAGATAAATGAGATTGGAAGATACTTATGAGCAGCGCTCTGATCAGCGTCCTTTTTTAAACTTCTTTTCTAATTTTCTATTTTGTCTCAAGGCAACTCTGGTTGTAAACGTGGCTAGTTACTGCCAGCATACAGAAAAAAATTACATCATGCTGCAGGAACTCCAGCGAGAGTTTGGATCATCCCATTTCACTGTGTTGGCCTTTCCTTGCAATCAGTTTGGGGAAACGGAGCCAGGTCTGAACGACGAGATCATTTATTTTGCTAAATCGAATTATGGAGTGACATTCCCCATCTTCAGTAAGATAAAAATTCTAGGTACTGAAGCATCGCCAGCTTTTAAATTTCTGATAGGTAAGCTTGTGTCTCTCTTAAGCTGCATGTTGTGTCTTTTACTGTAGTGTTACTTTTAGGCAGAAACATATACAGACTTCAGATTCGCTGGATTTGCAGTTTCTATTTAAAAAACTTTCTATTACCTAAATCTCTTCAAATATTCTTGAAAAGTACAACAGAATGCCAGCAAAAATCCCAGAAAAACGATTATCTAGATAAATCTGCAATTTGAAATAGAATATACTTATTTACAGGGAAGGGCTGCTGGGGTTCGTAGGGGTTCAGGAGAACCTCTAGCAAAGATCCTGTGCAGTTCAGAGAACCCCCAAATCCCACTCCTGGCTGGCCCTGCCACCCCACTCTACCCTGCCCGCCCGCCCCACACCAGATGTGGGTTTCAGCAGGTTCTAACCAGTTCTGGAGAACCGGTAGCGGAAATTTTGAGTAGTTCGGAGAACTGGTAGTAAAAATTCTGACTGGCCTCACCCCCATCTATTCTCTGCCTCCCAAGTCCCAGCTGATTGGGAGGAAATGGGGATTTTGCAGTAACCTTCCACTGGATTGGAGAGGGAATGGAAATTTTACAGTATCCTTCCCCTGCCATGCCCACCAAGCCACGCCCACCAAGCCATGCCATGCCCACTAAGCCACACCCACAGAACCAGTAGTAAAAATTTTTGAAACCCACCACTGTCCCACACAGCCCATTTTGGATGCAGGTAAGTGCAGGGTGCATGCAGAGGCTCGGGGAGGGCAACAAACAGGTGTACCGGAAGTTCAGGAAGGCCAGAAAATGGGGCCGTTTCCAGCCTCCAGAGGGCCTCTGGAGCCCGGGGAGGCCATTTTCGTCCTCCCGGAAGCTCAAGGAAAGCCTCCAGAGCCCAGGGAGGCCAAAAACGCTCCCTTCCCCCTCCCCCACCACCGTGGTGCAGGATGCTGACATGGCCACGACCACCATGGCCACACCCAACCAGCAACCGGGCAGAGAATCCCTTGCTAAAAATTTTGAAACCTACTCCTGCTTATTTACATTGTGCAGTTCTTTACCTTCTCCTACAACTAATCCCTGACAGCCAATGTGGTTTAGTAGTGGTTAAGGCATCAGGCTAGAAACTGGGAGATTGTGAGTTCTAGTCCTGCCTTAGGCATGCTGGATAACCTTGGGCCAGTCCCTTTTGCTCAACCCTAGAAGGAGGGCAATGGCAAATTGGCCTTGAAAATCTTGCCAAGGAAACTGCAGAGACTAGTCTAGGAAGTCTCCAGGAGTTAAAAACTGCCTTGAAGGCACACACATATCACTAACCAGTACATTGCAAAATAGTGACTCTTGTCTGTCTGAATGAAAAGATTCATTTGCCCAATTTATGCACCTTACAGAAGTCCGCTTTATTGTCATTATTTTCCTAAATGAAGCTTTTGCGTTTAAAATTGATATCAAGAAAAACAAGGAGGACCTGCACATGGATAGCAAGAAGTGCTTATATACCCAGCGCTCAGTCTTGTGCACGCTAAGAATCTTTTTAGAATTCTTTTATTTTTTAAAAAGAAACCAAATGCTTGCAGTCACCGATGCAGAGAATCTATGTGTGTATACACAAGCCTTTCCAAGGCTGGCACTGACAGGTACAGTGGAACTGTTCTGACATGTATAAATGTAACAGGATCAAACTGCAAATCAATTATGAAGGTAGAGCGAATGAGTCAAGAGGAAGGCAAAGACTGAGAAAGTCACAGTTGAATGGAGTTGACAGTTAAGTGAGCCGCCACCCCCATTTACGACCTTTTTTGCCACCGTTGTTAAATGGATCATTGCCGTTTTTAAGTTAGTAACACGATTGTTAGGTGAATCTGGCCTCCCCGTTGATTTTGCTGGTCAGGAGGTCACAAAACAGGATCATATGACTCTGGGACACTGCAACCGTCATAAATACATGCCAGTTACCAAGTATCTGAATTTTGATCACATGACCATGAGGAACGCTGCAGTGGTCGCAAGTGTGAAAAAGATCATAAGTCACTTTTTTCAGTGCCATTGTAACTTCAAATGGTCACTAAATGAATGCTTGTAAGTCGAGGGACTGCCTGTAATTAAAAATTGATTTCAGAACAATATGTGAACCCAGTGCCAACTACTCATATTCAGATCTGATCATTTTTTCAGGTTTTCCTTCCTCTGAGAGACTTATCATAACCTGTCAATTTCTATGTTATTTCTAGTGACTGTTCCAATATTCTATTTCCTTGAAAGCAATATACAGATGTGGTAGAAACAAGAATGGCTTGATTCCTGAAAGTTGATTGAAAGGTATAAACCAAATTAAAGAACCAGGTTGGTGCACCACATTATAAACCAGGAGACTATGAGTTCTAGTGTGGCTTAAGCCATGAAGCTGAACAGATGATTTTGGGCCAGTCACTCCCAGTTTTAGAAATAAATCAAGGCAAACCTCTTTCAAAAAAATTCACAATAAATTTGCTTGGACAGCACAGCCCTCCCTACCCCTACGTTTGATTAGATCTTCTATTGTCTTCTGCTAGTAATTTCACTGCTCACCAATTCTGGCTCCATTCTACGCATTGAATAACGTTGGTTATTAACCATAAATACTTGATAGATATCTGGGGCAGTGCCCAGTTATTCAGAGAGACCATTTCTGGAAAAAGAGTACACAAATATCAAATTAACTCTAGAGGCTTTTCAATTTTTTTACAACATCCACTGTTTTTTTAATAGTAGAAAGAAGAAACGTATCAATTTACCCAGTTCTGCAAAATTTCCAGAATTTCTTCTCTAGTCATTCTTTGATTATTTATTAACAAGAATTGTGGGTCTTATCCCATGCTTTATATTATGAATAGAATAATTCTATTAAACTGGATTAATCATTGTGATTACAGAACCTGACAGTAATTATTTATATTGCTTATTACTTTTGGGAATACCTCGGTATTGTTGAAGCTTCTGGATTGGTGAAGATGCATATTATCATACAATTTAGGACAGGCTGTTGGTTTATTTTTGATAGAGTTTTTTAATTTTTACAGAGGAAGAAAAGCATAGTCATTGGAGCAGTAGTGGTTTGCATGCGTAGAGATGTCTGGGCAGGTGGGTGGAGCCTCCTGCCACTGCCGCTATCCATTCGCCCAATCCGGGCGAACCGGTAGCAACCCACCACTGCATTGGAGGTAGGCAGGAGAGGATAGGGAAATCAAGATGCAAGGAGAAAACAGTGCTAAGGAAATAGAATAATGGAACAGTTACTAAAAATAACATGAAATTATTCAGGAGCCTGGATAGCTCAACAGACAGAGCTCTGTAATTTAATATCAGCTGTCTGCAATTAAAGTAAGATCGAATCCCGCCAGGCTCAAGGTTGACTCAGTCTTCCATCCTTTCTAAGGTAGGTAAAATGAGGACCCAGTTTGTGGGGGCAATAAGCTGACTTTGTATAAATATACAAAAGTATGAAGGCTATTGCTTAATGCATCTAAGCCGCCCTGAGTCTCCAGAGAAGGGCGGCATATAAATCAAATTTAAAAAAAAAATAATAATAATTGACAGGTTATGATAAGTCCTATGAAGGGAAACCTGAAAAAATGATCAGATCTGAATATGAGTAGTTGGCACTGAGTTCACATATTGTTCTGAAATCAATTTTTAATTACAGGCAGTCCCTCAACTTACAAGCATTCATTTAGTGACCATTTGAAGTTACAATGGCACTGAAAAAAGTGACATGATCTTTTTCATACGTACGACCATTGCAGCATCCTCATGGTCATGTGATCAAAATTTGGATTCTTGCATGTATTTATTGTAGTGTCCTGGAGTCATATAACCCCTTTTGTGACCTTCTGACCAGCACAGTCAATGGGGAAGTCAGATTCACCTAACAACCATGTTACTAAGTTAAAAACTACAATGATTCATTTAACAACGGTGGCAAAAAAGGTTGTAAAATGTGGGGGACTCACTTAACTGTCTTGCTTAGCAACAGGAATCTTGGGTCAATGGTGGTCATAGGCCAAGGACTACCTGTACAAGCTGATTGTTTCAAATTAGTCTATAAAAAGAATGAGAAAATGAAATCCATAAATTCTGTTAATATTGGTTAAAGCACGATCCCAACTGAGTGCCTGCATTTTTTCCAAATCACATCCCTGCTGTCTGTGACCTAAAAGTGCCTCATCTTATGTGATTCCTGCAGATGCTTCTAAAAAGGCACCTAAGTGGAATTTCTGGAAATATCTCATCAGCCCTGAAGGTAAAATTGTGAAATACTTGAAGCCTGAAGAACCCATAGAAAACATCAAGCAGGATATAGCTGCTCTGATTAGGGAGATCATTATAAAAAAGAGGGAAGAGCTTTGAGGAAGTCCCTGTGCCTTGTGGATCCATTGGGCGACTTCACCATCCAGCCTTAGTACATTCCTGCTCAAATATGGCAAACGCTGAGCTATCAATGATCTTTCTTGACATTTCATGCCATGATAAACTGAGAAACAGAACTTTCTTTTCTGTTTAGAACTACAAAAGATGCTGAGAGCAAAAGAAGTCAAGACATTTGATAGTGCCTTAAGCACTTTACCCAAATGAGCCTTGGACCCTACAAACATGGTTTACAGTGGGATATCTGGTTAGGAAATCTGATTATGACCAATGTAAGAGACTTTTTGGGTGAGAAAGCATTCACAATAAATATTGCTTTCCTAAACCAGTTCCTGCTATGATTTTACATACATATACAATTATTGTGTTATTGTGACTTTATAGAGAGAAAATAATTTGGTGTGACCCAGGGGTGCTATTCAGCAGGTTCTGACAGGTTCTGGAGAACCAGTAGAGGAAATTTTGAGTAGTTCAGAGAACCGGCAAATACCACCTTTGGCTGGCCCCAGAGTGGGGTGGGAATGGAGATTTTGCAATATCTTCCCCTCAGGAGTGGGGTAAGAATGGAGATTTTGCAGTATCCTTCCCTTGCCACACCCACAAAGCCATGCCCACAAAGCCACACCACGCCCAGAAAGCCACGACCACAGAACCAGTAGTAAAAAAAATTGAATTCCACTAGTGGTGTGGCAATTAAAGGCATGAGACTAGAAACGGTAAGACTGTGAGTTCTAGTGCTACCTTGAACTTGAAGTCAGCTGGGTGTCCTTGGTCCAGTCATTCTCTCTCAGCCCTAGGAAGGATGCAACGGTGAACTATTTCTGTAGCAGTTACCAGAAGCTGAACCTGACCACCAAAGAACTCCCCAGGGGTGGGTTCTACTTACCTTTACTACCGGTTTGTAATGGGACCGCGCATGTGCTCTTCTGCGCAAGCACAGAAGCTTCTGCGCATGCGCAGAAGCATTCTGATGACGTCTGAGTCGGTGGGCGGAGCCTCCCGCCGGTTTTACTACCGGTTCTATAGAACCGGTGCAAACCGGGAGCAACCCACCACTGGAACCCCCTCACCCAAAAAAGTTAGGGTTTTAAAGCTGCAAGAAGAAACACTGGCCTAAGCATTGCTGACTCTGTTCTGACCGTTCTATGATGGTAAAGTTTTAAATGAAAGGGAAAAGTGTAGCAATAATCCAAATATTAATACTGAATCTCTGGATAATCTTTATCCTTAAGCAGCCCAAACAATAAAACATCTTATATACAGGTAATCCTCAACTTACGACCACAATTGAGCCCAAAATTTCTGTTGGTAAGTGAGACAGTTGTTAAGTGAGTTTTGCCCATTTCCTGGCACAAATATTAAGTGAATCACGGCAACTAAGTTAGTAACACCGTTGTTAAGTGAATCTGGCTTCCCCATTGACTTTGCTCGTCAGAAGGTTGCAAAAAGTGATCACATGACCCCAGGACACTCCAACTGTCATAAATATGAGTCAGTTACCAAGTGTCTGAAATTTCATCATGTGACCATGGCGGTGTTGCAATGGTCGTAAGTATGAAAAATTGTCATAAGTCACTTTTTTTCATTGCCATTGTAACTTGAAACAGTCAGTAAATGAACTGTTGTAAGTCGAGGACTACCTATACTAAGAAGAATTACAAATCTATTTAATACATATGAGCTGAGATTCATTTTCATACTGGAAATGAAAATAAAATAAATACATACTATCTACTATTAATTTTGGCAATACAGTAGGTAAGCTAGTTTGCAAAATACATGTCTTGCAAGCCAATCTGGAACAAAATAAATTAAAATCTTAATGCACTTTTTCACAGCACTGCATACCTTAAAAGTGTTTAATTACAATGATGGCTATTGCCCTTCTCTCCCTCCAAGCAGATTTAACATATTAGCCTCAAAATGATGTTAAATTGTGCAATAATATGGAAGTGTACTTAGTTGCTGGAATATGTACAACAGCTAACTAAGAGGTACACTGCCAAACCATCCCACATGGAGACAGAACACAGATAGTAGTATAAACTCAGACGATTATATCAGAATGAAGAACATCTAAGAAACTTCCATTGAACAATTAGTGCACAGAAAAATATTTTCAGTTTTTTTTTTTTGTTTTGTTTTTTTAATTTGATTTATATGCCGCCCTTCTCCGGAGACTCAGGGCGGCTTACAGTGCATTCAGCAATAGCCTTCATCCTTTTGTATATTTATACAAAGTCAGCTTATTGCCCCCACAAACTGGGTCCTCATTTAACCTACCTTAGAAAGGATGGAAGGCTGAGTCAACCTTGAGCCTTGGAGAGATTCGAACCAGCAGTAAATTGCAGGCAGCTGTGTTAATAACAGGGTGCTTTAAACCACTGTAGTACCAAGGCTCTTGATACTACTATAGTTTTGCCTATAAACCTGTCAGCTAGCCTAATAACAGAAATATCCCAATGTGGGTCATTTGCAGATAGCAATAGCAATAGCACTTAGACTTATATACCGCTTCACCATCCTTTATATAGCCTGCTCTAAGTGATTTACCGAGTCAGCATATTGCCCCAAACAATCTGGGTTTCTCATTTTATCGACCTCAGAAGGATGGAAGGCTGAGTCAACCTTGAGCAAAGGACAATATATTCTACTTCAAATTGCAGGATCGAAGGAATCAAACTCCTGGCAATGCCAGCAGAGTTAGCCTGCAATACTGCATTTTAACCACTGTGCCATCACACGCAATGTTAGAATGTTAAACACTAATAAATCTTCTTGATGACAAAGAGTTTTTGAACATTTTGTTACACCGAGTCATCTGATGATCAAAATATGTGCCGTAGGCTGGCAGCTGAATGTCAGCTGGTGCCATCTGGATATCCATCCAGCTAACAATACACTGCCATTCCACTACACACACAACTTTATGTTATTCTCTCTCTGACAACCAACAGTTCCTGCAACAGGTAACAGTGTGGTAGCGACTGCTAGAATTAAACAAAGCAGCCAGCTAATTCTACACTGCCTATCAGTCACAGGTTGCATTATGCCAGAGGATAGGTCCTTGAGGCACAAATTCTCCTTAGATCAGTGCTACAGCCATCAAGATGGGTAAAAATAATACTATAATCAAATATTTATTTCTATATGGAAGGCTCATAATAAGTCATGAAGGTTAGGAAGACTGCAATTAAACATGAAAATTCTATTCTTGCCTCCCTCCATTCATTCTCTGAAATGTTTTATAATTTTTAATGATTATCTAGGTTCTAATAAAAAATGTTGTAAAGTTTTTATCTTGTACTGTGCTAAAAAGAGTCAGAAGTCAATGCCTTTTTCTTTCTTCCCTTGAACCTTGTATTTTCTTTCCCCCTTTCTTTTTCCTTCCTTTAATTTCCTATTTTTATTTGTATTTTATGCATCGATAAAACAATAAACGTTATCTATATTAAAAATGGTAAATTGGTAAACTGCATCTATTTTATCCAGAAAGTCAGAGCATATAGCCCAAACAATGAATAGGCTTTAGAGATGTGATTCAAAGATGTTGGGGAAAAAACTTCAAAGTTGATTTGAATGGGAAGACTCAAATGCCTCTGAGTTGATCCTGAAATCCAAATTGACAGAATTGAACAATTATATTGCCTCAATCAAATCAGGTTTCTGAATCCATTGAAATCAGATTTATTTTCCAATCTGAAAGAGGTTGAAACAATTGGATTTCTTAAATAGAGCAGAGGGGTTAATTAAGCCAATGAATAAGATTGATAAGGACACACTTCCATGATTTCTGCAGCACATAGGAATGCAGCACTCTGGAGTGCAACCAGCTGCTGTAACACAAAAGATATTCAAACAGCCAGCTAGTACTGCACTGCCAAAGTGACACATATCTCTTCTCATGTTCAAAGTTTCCTTCTCATTATATTATTCTATTCTATTCTATTCTATTCTATTCTATTCTATTCTATTCTATTCTATTCTATTTTATTCTATTCTATTCTATTTCACCATGCTTTTTGAACCAGTGACTCTAGGAATATTGATGTAATTAAAAATAATACAGACCCAGAATAAAAAGAATAAACATCAACAATAATAACAACAGGCTCATCTAACTCTGTGCGTCCCAAGTCTGGGAGAATAGCCAGGTCTTGAAGATTTTTCAAAAAAACAGCAGGATTGGGACCAACCTTTCCCATTTAAAATTACTAATACTTCTAAGGCTTTCCCAATAATAAATTGTTATCATCAGCCTGCCAATAATGATAGTTTATGCCATTAGACCAAGAGTGTTCAGGGAGAGGGGGAGGGGAGTGTCAAAACATTCAAGATAGCAGGCACAACTTTCAATCAATTTAGAACACAGATTAGATGCTTAAGTAGGAAATGGAAAAAGTTAATGACAATATATTTGCCCATTCCCTTTGTGAGCTTTTCAGATATTGATAAAGATGGACCTTTGATCTTACCCAAAGGACTCTTCTGTTCATCCCTCTGCAATCTTCAGTGTTTTGAGATCATTGCTCTTGTATTTGTAATAGCTGCATAAAATGGTGAATTTCAGCAAACACATTTTTTTTTAAATTTGATTTATATGCCGCCCTTCTCCGGAGACTCAGGGTGGCTTATAATGCGTTAAGCAATAGCCTTCATACTTTTGAATATTTATACAAAGTTAGCTTATTGTCCCCACAAACTGGGTCCTCAATTTACCTACCTTAGAAAGGATGGAAGGCTGAGTCAACCTTGAACACTTGTTTGCCTTCATTGCATATTGAATTATGCATATTGTATTATGGCTTAAATATGGCCTGCTGTGATTTGGTAAATACATGCCAGGTGAAAATATGTTAAACCAAAATTAATTAATAATTATGATATAGCATAATTGTGAACCTTAATTGTGAATAAGTCAAGTATCCTTGACTTGTCTTGCTTAGCAACAGAAATTTTGGGTTCAATTGTGGTTGTAAATCGAGGACCTATATGTACAAACAAGATCATAGATCCCTTTCAACAAATATAGCACATTACAGGACAAAAATGTGTTATTCTCTCCCTCACAAACTTCTCTCCCTCACAAACACATTGCTGTTACCATTATTTCTGTTGCTGTTGAAAATGCACATATTATACTTTAGTACAGTGGCAAAATACATCATTTGTAGCAAGAGTCCTCCTTCAAAAAAAAAAAAACAAGTAGCTGGGGAAGTAAAAAGCCTCAGCCAGGGAAATTAATAAAGCACTTGCCAGTCTGGGCAAAAAAACCTGGAAGTAAAAGGACAGATTAATCTCTCGCACCTCGTCTCCTTTGGGCCTTTTGCATCTACAGCAAGGATAAAAGCGATGCTATTTCTGTTTTCCATCATTCATTTTCTTTCATAGAACATACAGTATTACAAAGAATACACACTGCAGAGTTCAATGCAACTCTACAAAGTCTTACCTTAGTAAACTTTAGCAAACTTTGTTTTCTGGTCTGTCTGAGATTGGTCCCAAGTGCTCTCATGACTTTTTTTCCTTTAAAATAAGTATACAGTACATATATATCACTTTATGCAGCCCTTTCGAACTGTAGAAATCTCAGTCCTTATTTTCAAAGTCTTGTAACTCTTTTGCTTTCATATTTGTTCAGACACAGATTTCTAAACCTCTCATTTTCTCCAGCTCACATAAACATATATACTTGCTGCACATTTTATAATGTCAGGTGAATAAATGTTCAATTTAGCTACCTTGTAAGTTTGACTAGACCAGGAAAAACAAATAATTTCATGTTATAACATAACCTGGAGCCTACTGATTATGTTTCATATTCACCAGGATGTGTCTTATACTTAAGGACTTTAAGCAGACCGGATCCTACATATATCCCACCTTTATTGTCCTTTGTCCACCAAGGCAACATGCCCTAACAAATCATAACTGATCCCAAATATATAAGCAGAATCAGACCTTATTTGTATTTGGAAAGGAGACCAGTAAAAAATCCCAAACCTTTAGGCTAACATGGGGAATTTAAACATATCTAGAAGGCATCTGGGTTGTGGTGAACCAGTTTTATATTGCTACAGAGTACCCATGAAATCACTGATAGTCAAAACAGAAAGGAAACCCCACCTTTAATCATTCTCCCACTATTTCTCCCAGCTTTATAATTGCAATCAATGCCCCTTTCCTAAACCATTAAAAAGATATTAAAGATCCACGGGCCATTTAATTATATCCGTGTCTTGTCATACACCAACCAGCAGAAGTGTCATTGCCTTTTTGTGTTTCTAATCCAAATCGTAACCAACCACTATATATACTAACAGAAGATTAGCTGATAAGGTGGCTCAATAGCTGACTAGGTGGATCAGCGGCTAAGACACTGAGCTTGTCGATCAGAAAGGTCGGCAGTTCGAATCCCTAGTACAGGTCTCCTGTGTGAGCAGGGGGTTGGACTAGATGACCTCCAAGGTCCCTTCCAACTCTGTTACTGTTAAAAAAAATACTTCTGCGTAAATAGGTGTAAGATCTAAGTAAGCGAGGGAGATTCCCATATACCGCCACTCCAGCCCGCAGCTAGCGGCTGAGTCGCTTTTAAAAAGAGGAACCAAGACCCTGCTGAGCGGACAGGACTGAGGTCCACAAGGCATCTTTCATCTGTCTTGACCCTCCGGTATCTTTCTAACTTCCACTCCACTTCTGAAGAGAGTTACTTAGCTTTGCTGATGCTGAACAACCGCATTGCTTTTCAGAAATTACCCCCCACCCCATCCCACCCTCAGAGCCTTCCCTTCTGCGGCGAAGAATTAACTTTCCCAACACCTGCGAGCACCTAAATTTGCCTACTGGTCCTGTAGGTGCCATCATTAGGGGGTGATGCGTTCTTCCATCCGCTCCAACCTTTGCTTCCCTGACTTTTTTTTTTTAAAGTGGGGGGGGGGGCGCTTTGGGTATCAAGACCCCGTAGGGAGCCGCCCGCTGCCTTACTCTGTCCCCAGACCCCAATGAAGCCCCATTTCGATGGAATCGTTTTAAAGAGGCCGAACAAGCGGCAAACGAAGCGGGAATTCCTCGCTCCGGCTCCCGATTGGCTGCCTTGTTTTCTGACGACGGAAAAGTCCCCTTCCGTGGGAACGCGGCGGCGCGCAACACTGAGGGACGGGCGGGCTCTTTTTGCGCCTTGGCTGCGGGTAGGCCGCGCGCTATCCCGGGCAAAGGACCCGCTTCGGCTGCGCGCAACGTGGAGAGATGCCTCTATTGTCCGTCGCGGGACAGGCGCGGGGAGCGCTTTCAATAACCGCGCCAAAAGAGCGCGGCGGCGGGCGAAGAAGCGGGGAAAGGGAGTGGAAAGCCTTCTTTGTTGTTACTCCGTATAGGATGGCGGAGTTTTGGATTGGATGGGGGAAAAGCCCGAAATACCACTTTTGGGGATGCAGCATCCCATTTAAAAAAAAAACATTTGTTGTTGTGATTCGGCTCTGAATGGGTTTCCAAGGATGATGTCAAGGCTCAGAATTGGGCAAATAGGACTGTAGGAAAGGATTGCACTGGAGCAGGGGGTCTCCAACCTTGGCAACTTTAAGACTTGTGGATTGCACTGGAGCAGGGGGTCTCCAACCTTGGCAACCTTAAGACTTGTGGATTGCACTGGAGCAGGGGGTCTCCAACCTTGGCAACCTTAAGACTTGTGGATTGCACTGGAGCAGGGGGTCTCCAACCTTGGCAACCTTAAGACTTGTGGATTGCACTGGAGCAGGGGTCTCCAACCTTGGCAACTTTTAAGACTTGTGGACCAGCAAAGCTGGCTGAGGAATTCTGGGAGTTGAAGTCCACAAGTCTTAAAAGTTGCCAAGGTTGGAGACCCCTGCACTGGAGGATGCCTGGCCAAGGTTCTTCAGCCATTCATTTCCTCCCAGGGGACCTGATTTCAGTTACTTTATTCTCCCGTTATTCGTTTCGTTCATTTAATTTAGTGGGGGGAGGGGAGCTGAGAGTGCTCAGGCTCATCAGGCTGTTTTCGTCCTTTCCTTTCTGTATTTGGATTGTGAAATGAGTTCTTTTCCTAACGCTGTTTTACGCTTCTGCCAAAGGTGGTGCTCCTCAGAGCTCCAGCTTGCAACGTCTTGTGTGTACATCGGTGTTTTTTCAAACCTCAGCAGCTCTAAGATGTTCTGGGACTTCAAATCCCAGAAGTCCACACATACGGTATATGATCGTTTGTCCACACACAGATGGCACACAGATGGCATGCAGTAATTTTGACTTGGTTGTGGCTCCAAGGAGAACAAATCCACCGTGAAGATGTAAGATCATTTGATGAAAAGTACCACATTTGCGCTTAGGCCCAGAGTCTAGATCAGAGGTCTTCAAACTTGGCAGCTTGAAGACTTGTGGACTTCAACTCCCAGAATTCTTCAGCCAGCATAGCTTGAGTTTGAGGACCCCTGGTCTAGATGATGGGAAAAAGTAAAATGCCTGAAACATCATAGCTTTCTGTTTAAAAAAAAAAAAAACAGAAGCAAAGCCAATTTCCTCTCCCTAAACTTATTTTGTGTACTTGGAACTCAGAACTGACGGCCGTGGCCAGGGGGGCTTTTTATCAGGTTCGCCTGATCCGCCAGTTGCGTCCCTTTCTGGATCGGGACTCCCTGCGCATGGTCACTCATGCCCTCGTCACTTCCCGACTGGACTACTGCAATGCTCTCTACATGGGGCTCCCCTTGAAGAGCATCCAGAGGCTCCAGCTGGTCCAAAATGCGGCCGCACAGGTGATTATGGGAGTGGCAGGGCGCTCCCATGTAACACCTCTCCTGCATGAGTTGCATTGGCTCCCAGTGGTCTTCCGGGTACAATTCAAGGTGTTGATTAACATCTTTAAAGCGCTCCATGGCTTAGGACCTGGGTACTTACGGGACCGCCTTCTGCTACCGGCAGCCTTCCACCGGCCAGTACGCTCCCACAGGGCGGGGCTCCTCGGGGTGCCATTGGTCAGACAATGTCGACTGGCGACCCCCCGGGGGAGAGCCTTCTCAGAAATTGGCAGGCTTCATTACAGTCATAACTTGAGAACTACCCATATATATGTATAAAAGGCTACCTTTTTCTGCCTTTTCAGGAAATTCAAAACCCTGAGAAGTAATAGGAAATTCAACCCTAGCCATTCTGTCCTGATGCACCTCACACAAAGATTCTCCAGAAGCACATCTTCCAAACAGACTACCTCTGGGTAAAATCAAACTCATTGGCAGATTAAATACAAAATGGCAAAGGTGATCCTATATATTTTAAAAACCTTTTTCCACAGGTATATATAAGATTTCAGGCTATATAGAACTATTATAAGATACAAAATCTAATGGTAAATAAAAATGTATAATAAAATAAAAATAAAAAATAAAGATTGTGGTTTTTTAGCTGGAAACCAGGCCTTCTTAGGTGCAGCTATATTCCTTAAAATGTAGGGAGCATACTCCCTTTCGCCTTTCAGCTCCAATCCAGAAGCCCTCAAGCATAAATCTAAGGAACGCCTTCAAACTCCAAACTGTAGATATTAGCCAAGATTGCTCAACTTTGAGGCAATGTTCTAGCTCACATATTTAAGAAACTAAGAAAAGAAAATCATGAATAGAATTTCATGAAGCAATCAGTTTAAATTGCAGCATTCTGGTTGAACTAGTTATAGTTTGGATTTATCCCAAAATAGTTAGGGTTGAGTGGAGATTTCAGAATTTACAAAAATAACAAAAGGAGTAAACAAATCAAGTGTTCCTATAGGTGAGGTCTATGTTTAAAAAAAAATTAATCCCCCACGTAGAAAATCAAATGTAGTTTCTATACAGAGATAACCTTTTTGTGCACGGAAACGTTCTATCATGAGATTGCCTCCCATTGTACTGTGAATAACATTCAGGAACATGGAAGGGGATGGCAATTCAGCAGAACAGCAACTGATTTGTCCCAAATTCAACCCTACAAGGTGGACCGGAATAAACCCTGCCTGAAACCCTGAAGAATTTTGCTACCATTTGGTGTGCTAGACAATTTTAAAATGTGTGAATTTGAAATCCCAGAATTCCCCCGCTAGCATGACTGAGGAATTCTGGGAGTTGAAGTCCATATGTCTTAAACTGCCAAGGTTGAGAAATACTGATCAATACAGTCAGGTCATAGCAATTTCCTAATTCATCTATGGTACAATCATATTCTGGCAACATCTCTTTTTTTTTTATGATGTGTCCCCAGTGTTTTCTCTCCAATGAGCCAAATACAGATAGTCCTTGATTTACACTCATTTGTTTAGTGACCATTCAAAGATACAATGACGCTGAAAAAAGTGACTTAAGGTTGTTTTTCACACTTATGATTGTGCAGCATCTCAGTAATCACATGATCAAATTTTGGCCACATGGCAACCATGCCATTTATGGCAGCTGCAGCGTCCCAGGGTCATGGGATCACCTTTTGCAAACTTCTGACAAGCAAAGTCAATGGGAAAATCAGATTCACTTAACAACCATTTAGTAACTTAACAACTGCAATGACTCAAGATAGGTTGTTGGGCTCAATTGGGTCGTAAATGGAGGACTGCCTGTTAAGCTATGTGTGAGAAAGAAAGCAATGTAATAAATCCTTGTAAAATAACTTCATGGGCTGAAGTAGCATTATGTAGAAATCATGGGCCTACATCACCACCTGTGTGTCTCAGAAAACACAAGGGCGGTATGTATGCCGGGGGAGGAGGGGGCTTCAATTGCATAGCTATGGCCACCATCTTGACTTTTCTGACCTCTTCCTGCAGACACCACTGCACAAGAGTAATCATTTGTGTGGCATGTATAAAGTCTGCGGAGTGAGTGCTGCTTATGGTTGAGTATACTCTATGACTCCAGTTGTGTTTGTTTGTTTGTTTATTCTAACTTTATTCAGCTTGAATTCAGGCATAAAGGGACATAGAAAAAGGGACAACACAATTTGACAGAGAATCAGAACAAAGTCAAGAGTGGCAGAATGGGGATTGGTGATAGAGATAACAAAATGTATGCTGATTTTCTATTGACTCCAGGACAAGTGGATATGGTTCTTTTAATTAATAAACGGACAGGCCTTAGGGAGAACTAGAAATTAGCAACAAATATGAATAGTGTTTCACTACTAATGTTAAATTTTAGAAATAGATTACAGGTAGTCCTCAATTTATGACCACAATTGAGCCCAAAATTTCTGTTGCTAAGTAAGAAATTTGTTAAGTAGTTTTGCCCCATCTTATGACTTTTTTTGCCACATTTGTTAAGTGAACTGCTGTGGTTTTTAAATTAGTAACACAGTTGTTAACTGAAACTGATTTCCCCATTGACTTTGCTTGTCAGAAAGTCGCAAAAGGGGATTACATGACTCTGGGACACTGCAACCGTCATAAATATGAGTCAGTTGCCAAATGTCTGAATTTTGATCACAGTGATCACAGAGCTGCTGCTACAGTCGTAAATGTGAAACATGGTCATAAGTCACATTTTTCAGTGCCTTTGTAACTTTAAATGGTCGCTAAACGAATTGTTGTAAATCGAGGATGATCTGTGTCATCCAAGCCAGGCATGTCCACTATGCAGAGGGAGGGCCCAAATGATCAGCATAAACATGAATCAAAGATGCAAAAGTATTTGTGCCCTCCCTTTGTTGACGCCTCTGGCCATCACTGTCTGCTACCACATGGTACTGTTAGCAGTCTCTCATGCTCCATTCAGTCCCCAAAGAAGACATGACTGAAATAACTTGGAAAGAAAGGACTACATAACCTATATCTATGAGATCAGCCTTCCTAACCTTTCTAATCTAGGCTTTGGGGTTTTCAAGCTGGAAAGACTATCTGTGAAATTCAAGTAAAATCAGTTTAGTTTTTTCCCCAGGATTATAAAACGTTTGCTCTAAGGCAGTGTTTCTCAACCTTGGAAGCTTGAAGATGGGTGGACTTCAACTCCCAGAATCCCCCAGCCAGCGCTGCTGGCTAGGGGATTCTGGGAGTTA